CAGGGTCTGTGCCCGCAGGGTCTGTGCCCGCAGGATCTGTGCCCGCAGTCCCCGACTCTCCCGCACTCCCCGGGCACAGCCCGAGGTGCCCGCGCGGTGGCTCCGCTCTCAGCCTGGTTCCAGGCTCCTGTCTGAAGGTGTTGTTTAAAGCCCTGGAATGTGCCGAAATGGAATCAAAAGGCTCAGAAGTGCTGCTGTGTGTGTGTGTGCGATGCTGACGGGACAGGACTCTGCAGGAGTCCCAGACACAATCCCCGGGGCAGACACCCCAAACCTGATCCATTTGACTTGATTCAGAGCTTCATTCTTCCTTTTTTGGGGATCCCTGAGGACGTGTTCAAACCATGCGCAAGGATTCTATAATGTGGGGGATTTTTTCTACAATGCAGCACATTTTAGAAACACAAAACATTCCATCCTTCCTTCCAGTTAAAGATTGATTTTTTTCCCTATGGAAAATGCAGAGTAGGAGAGAAGAATGGAAATCACCACAGGGAAGGTTCTCCAGCTTTGTTTTGTATGCCACATGCAACAGGTTCTCAACTCCACATTCCAATCCCCAGACTGGTGGGTTCTCCGTGTTTGGATTCTCCAAGGAGGGGCAGCTCAGTGGGGATGCACTGAGGGAGCTGTTGAGCTGCTGATCTTACTCTTGAATCCATATAAATTGTCCTTAGATGCCAATAGGAACCACAGACATTAAATTTGCAAGGTAGAAACTAGATGTAAGGAAAGAAAAGCAATTTAGAGCTCCATTTGAGACATATCAGTTGATTTTTTAAACTGCCGCAGCAGTTGTGTTTTCCAGCTCTGATCCCTGCAGGGCTGAGATAGTTCCTTCCAGCTGCACCTGCAATGGGTCATTGTGCTTTGGGATGAGATAGAGCTGCTTGGAACCAGCATATTTTTAATCTAGTCCTGCCTTGTGCCTGGCAATTAATATTTATTACAGTCTGGACTGAGTGATGGTATTTTTCCCCCTGTTTGTTTCATATGCCACAGAAAAGAGTGGAAATTAGGATGAGCTGCAGAAAAGAGCTGGAAGCAATTAGTTGTGTTATTTTACTGGGACTTAATTGCTGTAACATACAAATTGACAAAGAAAATGTGGATGCTCTAGCAGGGGTTTGCTGCTGGATTTGAAAGGGAAAATGACTGCATTAGTATGGATGGGATATGTTATAATTAACCTGAGCTATACATTTAAATGCCTATTTACTTAGGATCCACTGGAGCATATGACAAGTAGTAAGAACTCACAGTAACACACAAACTGTCCTTGTGTGCAAGCAGAACCCTGCACATTCTCCATGGCCTCTGTGGGTCAGGGCCAGGACAAACTGTGAGCCCAGATAAGCTCTCTGTGGCTCTCCCTTCTCTGCTGATCCTGAAATAAGAAGAGAGAAGAGGGAAAAGGATACCAACAGGAAGAGTATAAAATAAGAATGACCACGCGGGGTCAGCTCAAAGATTCTTCCAGCCCCAAATGCACCTCCAGCACTGTGGGTTTATAATTCAGCTTGTGCAAGTTGCCCTTGGATGGTGATTTCAATGAGAGGTGATCAGTTTGACAGAAGCCATGAACAGAGATCTAGGGAAGAGCAGGAACATAAGCCAAGGTTGTCACTGACTGCACTCCCATCCTGCAGCTATGTGCTCCATAGGAACTCCAAACTAGAAGGAGAAGGGGTTGGTTGGGTGAGAGCTGCACCAGACACAGCAATGTCCCCATGTCCCTTCAGGACTTCTAGTGTAGAGACTAGTCATCAATTAAGTGTCTGTCTGTTATCTCTGGGATCAGTTTGTCTGCAATTACATCTGGGCTTTGTGAGCTGATGGCTGCTCAGGGAGGCAGAACAGCTGACACAGATGTTAATGCCACTGGGAGATGGAGTCATCCTTCTTTTCCACAGGACTGTGCCCAATGCTCTTTGGAAAAACCTTTGACATCTGCTGTCTGAGGAGGTTTTACTGAACACAGAATCATAGAACGACCTGGGTTGGAAGGGACCTTGAAGATTTTTTAACACAACTACTTTTCTAAGGGTTTTGTTTTGAGTGGTTGACTCGTTTTGACTGTCTCTACTTCAAGACTCACATTCCACAACCATTTGCACTTTATACCCTCGGGAAGCTCAGGGATGCTAGCAGGAACCAGCTCCAAGGATTCATCCAATAACTTCCCAGTCCTTTCAGCAGCTTGTCATTTTCCTGTTTTGTTTAATCCCTGTAACTGTCTTCCTATGAAACCCTGAAGCCGCAATGTACATTTTGGGTGTCTGTTACAATGCTTGTTTTTGTAGCGGGAAATGTAATCCCTCAAATGCCTGTGTTTAAGAGGATGCAAATCAGCCTGGGAGCACAATGCCTTGGGAACGTTTCTTTCATGCAAAACCCAGCGAGATAAATAAGGAGGGGAGGAGGGAGAGGGGAAAGGGGATTGTTTGCTTCTATAAACAACAAGAATTAATTATGCTCAGTAAATGGCAGATGGGTTAAGATCAAAATCTGAATCTTTCTCAATGTGGGTGAAATCTACACTCTTATCACCGAGTTGCATCAAACCCCCATTGCACAGTCTGTCCGGTGCCATGGGGCAATGACACTCGTGGTTGGTCCTGGCACAGCGTTGGGCACAGCAGGTCCTGCCGTGGCAGGATGCAAAAATCCCTCTGCTATTAACCTGGAGCGTCTCTGGACCACAACTGCTCCATCAGGGAAGCACCAACCTCCCACCGAGGGCAGGACAGAGGTTATTGCTTCCTGGTGTTCACCACCCTGAGCTGCAGCAGGAAAAAGAGACCCAACAGAGTCCTGGGTTAATGCAACCAACTGGAGGAGACACTGAAATGTGTTTGGAAGCTCACAGGGAGCAAGAAGACTCCCTGCTCTAAAGGCATTTTTCTGCACAGCAGTTGCACGTACACTTAAACACCTCTGAAATGAGAAACTTCTTGGCAGGTGTCTTTGCACTCCCAGTTCCAGCCAGGCACAGGAGGGAACAGCTGAGGGCACACACAGCTCATGCCACTGTGCACCTGCAGTCAGGAAGGTTGTGCTAACTAGAGAATAGGTGAGGTCAAGGAATTACTCCCCTTCTCTCCCACTTGGGGAGATCAGCTCCTTTCTTTGTCCCTAAATAAGAGTCATGCCCAAGGATTCTGAAGAGAAAATTTGTGTCCAGCTCCTGTTCCCACCTGTGCTAGAGAACGACCTGGGCACGGTCATTCTCCCCCTGCTGTTACAAGGGGTTTGCCACTCAATTATTTCACCTTTACAAACCCATACTCAAACCTTTTTTGAAAGCAAGTGATAGAAGTGCAAATTCTTATTGTTGCTCTTGAAGAGCTTTTTGCAAAGCTGTTGTTAATGAGCTTGCTTAATGAGCTTTCTTAAATCTATATTTATACCCTATATGCAGCTGTAGATAGATAAAGCAATGCCTAAAATATGTGTGGATTGCACACCCATATGCCTGGGAAAATGAAGGCTGATTAACACACATCTTCTTCAGTTATACCCTGCAAGTATTTCTTCTTTTTTTTTTTCCCTTGGAAATTGGAGAGATAAAAGATCCATTCTGGAATAAAATAATCTTGTGCATATGTGCTCGATGGTTTTGTTTATGAGCCCCAAGTATGTGAGTGTGAGACAGATGGTGTGTCTGTTTGTGAAAGATATGATGTGGGGATGAATGTGTGTAAAAATACAGGTTTCCTAAGAGCTTTTTTGTTTTAAAGGCGAAATAACAAACGCCTGTTTGGTACATTATTTCCTTGTGTCATGCTTTTTGTCAAGATGACAGAGGAATATTCCTGCAGAAGGCAAAGCTGCCCCCAAGAGGGAAGGGTGCTGCCCCCAGGGCTCTGACTGGGCATCGTGAATTCTCTTCAAGTTTTCAAAGTCCTGGAAAGTTTTGATAAGCAAATACTTTCTGGGCTCTGCTTCTCCATTGGTTGTTTCTTCACCGCCAGATTTTGACACAAATAATCTGATTGAAAAATCAGGGAGGGGAACAGGGGCAAAAAAAAAAAAAGAGAAAACCAGAGAGAGAAAAAAGGAGAAGTATCTATTTCAGCAGGCTGCGACCAAGTGAGAAAGTGGAAGAGGAGTCCTGAGAGAAGACAACATCTCACTTGGCTGGGGAGATTTCCAGGAGAATCCACTAAAGCAAAGTTCCCCCAAACAGGTGATCGATTTATTCTTTTAAACACTTTTAATTTCACTATTTTTCTCATTTCTCTGGTATGGTTTTTTTTTTAACCAAGCTTTTTCTTCTTCTTCTTCGCTTGTGTTTGCAAATATGTACCATATTCCCCTGTGTAAGTTCCTTTGCCCTGAGGATTCCTTTATGATAATCCTTCACTTGACTCATTTGAATTAAACCTTTATAAATTACATGCATATACTTCACTCTCACGTGTGAAAATGGGAATGGTAGAGGAAAAGCTAAGAGATGTAACAATGTTCTCAGATGGTTGTGTCCATGCAGAGGAATAATTTCTACATGTAGAGTTTTGTGCTTCATTTTTGTGGAGAGGGAAAACTGTGTTTTCCCTTTTAACTGCTCTTTCACAGGACCTCTAAGTTCAGAGAGCAGCACACTCTGCTCACATCAATTCACCTGTGCCAGTTTTGCTAGATGACAATTGAGTCTCTCCCATTTGGGATTTTTGCTTCAAATCTCTCTTTTATTACTTTCCCATAACTTTTAAGTACAGAGTGATTAGTGCAATGATTTTTAGCATAAGGAATTAGCTGTTTATAGGCATTTCTCATATACCACCAGACTGAATCAATACATTGAGGAGAAAACCCAAAGATTTGCAAGTTCACACCGTGAGTGCATCTGTATGTTAAGGGGATATGGAGTTAGATTGTATTGCATAACTCTTTCCATGGAATCTAAGGCAAAGATTGCCAAATCCAGTGGCATTCCCAACACCACCAGGAGCTACATGAGATGCCTAATGCTGCACTTGTAGTCTAAACATTTTTTCTAGGTGCTACAGATATAGCAGGTACACACAGATACACCATTTCTGTGCCACTTCTGGGATGAAGTTTCAACCATCATTTGCTGCCCAAGACACAATGTCCATTTTCCCAGTCTGACCACAGGGATTAAAAGACATGATGGATTTTGTTGTAAAGAACCGAAATTATTTCAAATTTTTAATTATATTTGAATCAGGAGCTCCTGAAACCTCTTTTTACGTGGACTCCTAAAAATTTCAGACACAGGTTGTGTTCTGCTCTGTGCTTTTTTTTCCTTCAGTAACATCTTTTGAAAGACAAACTGTTCTTTCCTTTTGGAAGCTTCACCAGAAAGAACAGGGAAAAAACCTCAATATTAAGATAAAAATGCAGCAATGGGAATTATTCTCTTTTAGCCTAAAACTTTGTACCTTCATCAATTTGTATGAAGATAGATATCAATTGCTAGTTAAAATCAAGTGTTTCTGCTGAGTGTAGTGAGAAAAGGGGTTTGGCTCTACAAATAACTTCGTACATTTGAAAACAAGAGTATTTGAATGCAGAGGAAAAAATGAAGTTTTACAAAGAAACTTTCATTGCAAATTGGGACTCTGGTTCAGTATGGCACAATCCTGCAAACTTTTTTCCCCACTGGAGGTTTCATCAGCTAATTCAGTGAGAAAATGAGTTTATTCTAAGTTATATCAAAGGACCCAAAATTGTGGGTTTGGGCTGTGAGCTGCCAGGCAGTGAAGGGGCAGTTAGAGCTTCCTGAGGAACAGAGGGTCCCATGGAATTAGGATCCTGGAGTCAGAAACCACTCCTAAAACAACCCCCAAAACACCCTTTTACTTTGGTTTTTGCACCATCTGCAGAGTTTCAGTATTGCGTAAGAGTTTTCCATGGAATACTCTGCAAAATCACCAGAGAGCATCACTGAGGATGAAGGGACACAGGAGGGGAAGATGCAGGTGCTGGATCTGCTTTCAGGTCTGACTGGGGAATTGGTACCTGCTACAAGAAACTCTTCTAAGGTGCTTCAAGTGAGGTACCCAAAGCAGGGAAGCAGATTTTCTTTCCCCGGGGATTCTAACATTATTATACAATTGTATCAATGGCAAACACATTAGAATGTCAGTTCTAGAAGCTTTTGGTTTTTAACCCTAAACCTAACCCTGTACTGAACTAAAAAATGCCAGGACACTTCCACTTTAGGTGGACACTTCTGCCCAAGCAATGAACTCCCTTGTGCACTTACCAGTCAAGGTAGAAACTGCTGCCACGGGGGCTGACAGGAACAGACTCCATAAAAATCAAGTTTTATTTTCAGGAAAAAGTTGAAGCTAAATTCTGCTGGAAGCTTCAATGACTCTAAGATGTCCATTGTCCATGGCACTGCTTTCCCTGGGGAATACAGTTGGGCATTAGTAGCAGCTGAGCACTTGCTACTGATAATCTGGAGTTTCAAGGAAAGAGAGTACTTTTTCCTTTCACAATCTCTGCTTCTTTCTTTCCTCTAACCTGGTGGTGTGAGTCACAAAGACAGTCCAATGCAGTTGTTAATTAACTCTGCTTTGGGCTCCCAGTTCCTGTTTTGTTTTGGGTTTTTTCTGTAAAATGGGGTGGGGGAAGGTAACTTCCTTTTGCAACGTTCAGTCCATTAAAGATCGTTGTGTTCAGCAGAGGCTTATCAGCACTCATGGTGCTGGACCAAATTTGGCTGGAGCTAACACATCCAGAAAAAAAAATCCTGTTGATTCATGTGCATCTACTTTCAACTGCCACCAGAAAAGAGGAGCTGTGCTTACTGCTTGGCGTATCCACTGCCATAAAACACTTTCAGATTGCTTAAGCCACTCATCTCCAATCCTCTAATTTACCTGGCTAAACTGTCCAGCTACTGGCACAGGATTGTCTAGCTGGAGGGCAGGGAGAGTGACTCTTCCAGGAGGCACTGCAGGCTGTGACCCTCTGTGCAGAGTCACCTGCTGCTGGAGCCTCTTCCTCCACCTTGTAGGAAGCCCAGGGTAATTAACAGGTTAATTCAGGCAGAGAAATCCAATTCTGGTATGAATATCCTCCATTGTGGACACAGTCCTGCCCCATCACATGGGAAAATCCCTTTGGCACGAGTGGAAATTCCATGTTTAAAGCATTTCTGGCAGGACTTGAACTTAGGGCACATCCGTGTTGCAGAGCTCCAAGCACAGGGAACTCATCTGGGAGTGACCAAGAGCAGGGAGACCCTGCTGGGAAGTGAGGGGCACAGGCTTAAGCTGAGCTGCCAAAGGGTTATACCCACTGCAGAGCAATCCTGTGTTTGTACTGAGCTGGAGGTATTTCAGTGCCCACTTAGAATGAACCTCATTAGAGAGTTCCAGGAGAGCAAATACATCAATGTAATACAGTGGCCCTCAAGGTTGTACTTATGGTTCATCCTCAGCACTGTTTTGTCCTCTTTCTAAAATTAAGCTAACAAATCTACTCTTGGCCTCTGTTTTTCTATTATTCATCTCAAGTTACATGTACATTTCTTGGAAAAAGATGAAGAAAAACAGGTGAGTCATTTCAGAAGAAATAAAAAAAAAAAAAAGACTAGAAGCAGCAAGAGTTATCTGTTATCCCTGAAATCATAGATGACACAGTGGGAATCCTGGACCAGATTTTAAAAGGCAGCTGTAAATTATTTTAAAAAGGCAACTGGGCTGGTGGCACCTTGGCAATGCCCCTGTGCCAGCAGACCTCACTGCAGCAATCCCACAGCACATGTACCTGTAGCTTCTACAGTAAATGTGGCCCTCAGACCTTCAAACAAAACACCACTGAGGTCTGTAATTATGTTCAGCATGAAGGGGTAGTGCAGGCACTTCTGAACCCTTGGGAGTACACCTTTCCATCCCTGGATGTTTGGGATTCCACAGGAGTCCACACTGCTCCATCCTGACTTAGACGTTTCATGCTGTTCCTGTGTAACCAGGGTTTTTGGAGGGGTTTCTTTTCAGGAAAGAAAACTTAATGATTCAGTTTCCAATGAACAGAGAACCAGGACTTAGTGCTGACTTTTCCTACGAAATACGGCAAGATTTGTTTTTAGTGCCACTATCCTGAACAATTACAAGGGAAAATGCAAATACCTATGCAAATAAGGCACCAGCTGATATTGCTGCACACAACATCTCTCCTGTTGTCACTTTGCCTCCACAAGAGCAGTTACCAGCCCTGGGGAGCAGGCACAGGGTGGGTTGGGTTCTGGATAGCAAAGATAACAGATGCATTTCAAGAGAATTTGGGGTGATTAAATTTCAACATTTTATGTTTGTCCCTAACGTTGCCATTTCAACGGTCTGAGTTACTTGAGTTGGGTCCAAAAGGTAACTTCTCACCCAGGACTTCTGTTCTGCCTCTGCTCCACTGCTGTTTGTCAGCCAGAACACAAGCTATGGCCAACAAGAAGGAAACTCACCACACATCATGGCTGTAGGGATTTAACACTGTCTCCTGTTATTGATGTTGTTATCATTACTTTTTATATCGCAATTTCACAGAGGAGCCCAGGGCATGGCTTGGGACTGGGCTCTTCTAGATGAGGTACAAACACTCAGACCCTTTCTCCAAGGGGGAATCTCCAGCCCTCAATCCCCACTGTGTCCTCTCAGGGTGGGTAAGGGCAGAGATGCAGCATGTCCTGTAGTCAGAGCAGGGAGCTACAAGAGAGAGATCCTGGCTTCCAATCTCTCTGCCACAGACACAGTTTTGGTCTGTAGCACAGCTCTCAGTTTAAGTCTGCCCTGGGTTCTCCACCTACAACACCAAGATAGCCATAATCCTTTGCCTCAACCTGGGCTTGGATTGTGAAGTGTAGTTTTTGCAGAGTATACTGTAGCTGCAATCCCATCTTCAGTCTGTTGTCCCATCTCTGCATTCAGTAGCAGAGACTATCTCTGAGCAAGTTTTGCACTTAGCCCCTTCCACAGCTCTGTGTTTTCCCCAGAGCTAAGATCTGTCACACTCCTAAACCCATGCAACCACCCCCTGCTCCTTAGCTGGAGGGACCTTTGAGGTGATCTCTCCACCTCCCTAGGAGAAGAGGGTTAATTCTCAAGGCTGCTGCTTACAGAGCTGATGTTCTGAAGGAACAAATGGGAAATTACCCCCCACAGCACAGAGATTTACCTGCTGTTTTCCTGTGTTTCTGCCCAGAAAGTGAATGGAAGATGCCACGTTCCTTTTTGGTGAAGAGCAAAAAGGCTCATACCTACCATCAACATCGCTTTGTGGAAGATGAGCTGCCTATACTCACATGGGCTCCAGTAACCTCTGCCTTCACTGGTGAGTCAATCTGTCCACTGAGCTTCGGAGAGCACACTGAGGCAAATCAATAGCTGAGCAGGCAACTAAGGGAGTAGGATGAGTGAGCTAAAGAGCATCAAAGGGATTCCATAGGGGGATGTCAGTCTAAGGACAAACTGATCTCTTACTGTGTGTCCTCTCTATGCCAAATCCACACTGTCCCAATTGAACCCAAATTTAGATCCTCCCTTTGTTTCCTGCTTGGTTGCTGGGGAGATTTGGGATCCAGGATTGCTGTGTGGAGTTAGCCACATTTGAGAAAGGTGACCATGTTCAGGCCACTACAGCTGGGAAAAGAGCTGCACTTGGTGCTCAGTCTTCTACAAACTCACAAATCTGCCACTTCCATCTCCTGTGCTCACTGCCCACATTCCCCCTGGACTACATCTTCTCTACCTCAGTGTGTTACCACCTCTTCCCGATGATTTGCAGGGAAGGTTAGAGCTAGAGTGAGAAAATACCAGTGATACCCTGACACTGACTGTGAGAGGAGTCCTACACACTCACAGATGAAGGACCAGCTGCTATATACTGTATTAGCACCAGCAACACATCCTCTGCCTACGCCTGCTGTCCTCCCTCTGCTCCTGTTCCTGCTCTCCCACAGCCATCCAAGCAGTGGCAGGGCTGGGGCAATTATCTTCTTCCTTCAGGCACCATTCAAATTTTCTTTATTCAAATTTAGGATCAACTTACCCTTTGTCCTAGTCCTGGCTATCAAATTAGAGTCCAGCCCTGTGATAAGTTTGATAAAAGAGAAAGGAAGTGACATTTTAATTTCAATTCCTGCCATCATCCTTTGGCCATTTGTTGTGTCTCTCTGGCACATTGAAGGGTTTGGAAAACATGAGTATTGTCTTTCAGCGGACCAGTCCCATCTCCAACAGAAAGGAGCCACATGTGTTGGTTCTCTGTCCATTTTAGTTTCTTACTACATTGTCTAAATCTAAGAAATGCTGGTTGGTCTCTTTAAGGACTGGGAGAAGATGGAGAATGGGAATGTGGGCAGGAGGAGATGAGGCTCAGTGGTCACCTTTGCAACTGTGTAAGCAGTTACATCCCCTCTCTGCTTCCCTTCTTGGCTGTCCATAAATCCAGGCTAACAATACCCAACTCTCTCAGGAGAGGGGTGGGGAGGTTAATAAGTAAGTGATTGTTAGTTACCCACACAAATGAAAATGGTTTTAAATAGGGAAATTATTCTTACAGGGTTCTGGGGTTAATTTGCTTAACTATATAGGACATCAAGTGTCCTATCATCTCAT